GTTTCGCATGCAGCATCAGAATGTCGAGTCGAATAAATAAAAACTAAAAGCCATGCACAGCAAATGAGAAATGGCTGAAAAGTGGTAGCGAGAGCGGGAGCGGGAGGAGGAGGCGGAACGTGGAAGATGCACGATGCGACACAAATATTGTAATCATAAATTTTCATAAACAATTTCGCTTTAGCTCGCAAACGGAGAACGTTTTGTGCGCCTTTTGTGTAGCCCTTCGCGTTTGCATTCGCATTCACATTCGCATCCGTATCTGCATCCGCATCCGCATCCGCATCCGTTTCAGTCCCGGACTCCATATCCGTGTCCGTGTCCGGGTGGAGACCACGACATTTATAATAATTAATTGTGCGCAAATATATGCCTTCAGTGGTCAGCAGCGGCCCTTTTTAATAAAACGCGCTTGGCCATGCAGACGCTGAGTTATTTGTGTCTCGTGTCGCACATGGAGTCGCATGCATTGCATTAGAATTTATAGCACTGCCAGCAGCAGCTACAACTACAGGACGAGCTCCAGTTGGTCAAGCGAAGGTGCGCGCCGGCGCTCTGAGTGCGAGCTGGAAACTGCACGCAAAACGTAGCATACTTTTGTGCGCAGCGGAAGCTGCTGTCTATCTCGGCTATCTTGGGCGCCATCTTGTGCAGTGGGTCCGCGAACGACCGAAAACCTTAAGCCAACAAATTGCAACATTTATTCAGCAAGACGAATGGTCGCTTGACAATTTATATGTATGACCATAATTTTTGGCCCTGACTGCAAATGGACAACGAGCCCCAGGCGCAGCCCCAGTTGCTGGCCCAGCTCCTGGCGGGCTAGCTGGACAGCTCATAATAGCCAGAAATTAAAAACAGTCGCTAGATACACAGCACGGGGCAGCCACATAGGCACACTCCACACTCCGCGGCCAAGTGGGGTCGGAGTGCCGTTGCGGCAACGTGTGAAATAAATTGCTAAATAAAATAAACGAGCAAACACACACGGCGACAAATGAGCCAGCCACAACAGAGACAACAACACGCAAGCCAAGCAATAGACGAAAACAACAACAAACAACAAGAAAAAAGCAATTAAAAACGATAAAAATAAACGGAAGCGACTTTAATGGCGGCTGGCAGCATTTAATGGTCGTTAAGGAAAGATTGCCTCTTGGCTGCCTGAAGGCGTCTGCTTATGCACGGCCCAAAAGTCCCAGACATTTGACACCAAATGGCTTCACAAGTGATTCCAAATGGCCCTGGCTAGCCCATGTAGACATTTTCCATAGATATGTAAGTTATTGGGATGGCTTGATGGAATATGTATGAATGCTCATATTGGTGCTTAAGTCAACTAAATGTAGGTATATATAAATAGAAATTGATATAAATAGAATAACATAAATAAACTGAATTCTTAAAAAAAAAATAAAGCTGTTTTCAGCGTACGAATTTAAATGTAGTCCAGCTGAGGAATCTACCTAGGTTTGCTTAGAATTTTCAATCATATTTTATTCGCTAATAAGTTAATGATTATTGAGTATTGAATATTGAGCAATGAATTATTAATAATTGTACTAGTAATAAGATCATTTATGTATCAGTTTTACATCACGTTTCATTGAGTCAGCAGCTCAAAAGCGAAACAATATTAGGTTTATTATATCAGGTTTATCCAAAGCAATTCGCATTACTCAAGTGTCCTGCTGTAGGATATCACGTAGGCTTACATCATTCTTGGTTCCTGATTGAAGTGGTGTGAATTGAACTACAAGTCTTATATTACATTCAAAACTAATTATATTTAAATTTGATAAATACTTTAGTTTGTTTTATAGTTTCATCTGAATGTGACTCACATCTTGTTGGGCACAGCGCTAGATCAGATTGCAATCATTGGTTCCGATTCCTCTCTATTCTTTGCATACATGATCGTATTTTCAGTACTTCAGCTTGATCACATTAAGCCGATGTCGGCATGAGAAAAAACTAATACTTCCTTTCATTATTTTAGATGCTCTAATGCCAACAGCTCTGTAAGTTTGTCTAAATTTACTATTACTATAATAAAATTTCGTAAGCTTAACACAAACAATAATGTGAAAGTCCAGTGCCTAAAATTAATTGTGGATTGACTTAAAGCAAAACGATAAAACATGGCAGCTGAGCACATCTAAATATAAATAATCTTGTTAGACTCTGATTTGTGGATAAGCTATGTATTTTACCCAATGCTATGCAATGCGCTGAAAAAATTTAAGTAAAAAGAATTTCAAGTTAGTTATCGTAGGCTTTATCCTCACTTTGTTTGGGTATGACATTAACTTAAGACTTTCCTTTTCTTATATAGAGATTCTCAAATAGCACAACAGTTTAAAATTGTCTTTGTAACTATATAACTATATATAGAGGGAAAGAGAGAGAGAGAGAGAGAGAGAGAGAGAGAGAGAGAGAGAGAGAGAGCGAACACAGCCTGTGTAGAGGATAAGCGAATTTCGCATTCTTACAAGTAAAAGCTCCTGTGCTGTGATAATGTAAAAGCGATTCTTATATAAATTAGCATACGAATTATAGTTCATATATAAGTCATTTAACATAATTAAATTAATAGTATTATATATTGCATACGAATCGCTAATTTATATAATATATAAATGTTGTTAAATTATTGATATATAAATTATTAATTGAACACTCATCTTAAGTAAATCTGCATTTAGAACTATTAAAAGTTGCCAAGCAAAATACAGTAAAAATCTCTATAAAGGAAAATCTTTGCAAATTGCCATTTCAAATGCTGAGCTATGAAATGAGAGCAGTAAAACAGTTAGGGGCCATCAGGTACAGGGTATCACGCAACTGAGTTTACAAACACTTTCACCTGTTCTCTATTGGTTATTTGAGGTATTTTATTATGCGTTACATTTGCTGCCGCGCTGGTCAATTGGCCAGTTAATTTTGAATTGTCAGCGAGCACGTTAGGCATCCAGCGGGCGCCACTGCCCACTGGGGGTCTGGGTCTGGCTGTCCAGTATTATCGCCGTGGCCAGCACATTCCCCGACAATTAACACGCGAGCCACTTAACCAAACTGCGACAACAAAGGCGAAGGCAATGGCCAAGGCAAAGGCAAAGGCAAAGGCAAAGGCGACGACGAATTGGCTGCGTAAATGGTGGCCACTTCGATGAAACTGTTCGATATGCAACGTCCTGGGGCAACTCAAGCATTTTGTGGGAGTGAGTGAGTATTTTTTGTTGTTTTGTTATGCTTCCTTTGTCCGCCCACGATTTGATTTATTTAGCTTTTTTTGTTTTCTTTTCGCGCTCTGGTGAGCCAACTGAGCCCTGTAAGCCTGAACACCTGTTGTTGGACGTTGGCAGCTCCCAAACGACTTGCGTGTGCCAGCGCCTTTATTTTGGCCAGAAATTTAATTGGCCTTTGTTTTCGTCAGCGTTGCGCCAACATCGTTTGTACGCGACATTTATTTACATTTTGTTAACATAAACAATGCGTAAAAGTTCGATGGCTTTGGCTTGGCTATGCCGAGCTATGCACAGGAGGGGGCTAATGCTGACTGCTCGCGCTTGTTACGGCTCTCGCGTGCTGACCTCCTTCCCAATAAGCAGCTCCATGCGACTGCTTCAGCCCGGGGCTGGTTCCGGGAACGTGGCCCAGGAAATTGGCCATTGTTCTACCTAATGCTAGCAGTTGAATATATGTATATTTATATATATATATATCTGTGTATGTATGTCAGTGTGTGCTGAGTATGTATGTATATGTATATACTTATATATTTAATTAATATGTCGCATGTAAATATTGACAGGCGCGAGTAAACAGCGCAAGTTCTCAGTTCTCTCAGTTCTCGTAATACTCAATTAAAATGAAAATTAGTTTGCGTTCGACCAGAGAATGCCCAGCGGCCAGCACTTTAAAGGTGCAAATATTATCAAAAGGCACTGTCCACTGGCGCGTGAAACTGACTAAAAAATGAGGAGGAAGCTCAGTTCAATTCATTTCGAGTCTTTGGCGCTGTGAAAGCATCTAGAAAATTGCGCCATTTCCGGTGCCAGCAGCAACGAATAATGCACATTGCTCTACAAATACCTCTTAGGGCGCTGCTGCTGCTCGCTGCAGTCAGCAGTCAGCAGTCAGGGCGAACAATGGGAGCGCAGATCTCGGAGCATTTGTGAATCGTAATAAATACGAAGTAATGAATCCTCAAAGCGACATATTTGTAGGTAAGCGCTGCAGTCGGTTTTATTTGAGAAAACGGTCTTAATTAACGCAAAGTCAAAGCTACTACGGAATTTGTTTCTAACTAAATATTTTCACTTTGACAGCTTCGGATGTCAAAGAGACTCTCTGCCGATGTTAATTAAAAATATGCAAAAGAATTTGCCATTTTAATCAAGCGTTGCAACGAGCAACATGTCAAATGAAGGTGAAAGCAAAACTGCGCTCTGCATGCCAGGAGGAGACGGCCATAGGTATACATATATATAGAGGATTCTAGCAGTCCATATTGCTTATTAATGTTAATACTTTATGGTATTACATAATTAAATTGAAGCCATTGACATATTTTCAATTTGGCTTTGAGATCCGTTTGCTGTAAGTTCATTTTGAGCACTGACTAAAGGCGAATGCAAATTAATTCGCTAACAAGCAACGAATGAACACAAAGTGCCAGCGTGGCTGTGTTGCCTGTAGAAACAACCACAACAGCAACAGCAAAAACAGCAAAAACAACAACAACAACAGCAACTGCCAGCTAACGAACTAAGAGCTGAACTTGTCGTTGTCCTTGCTGTTGTCGCTGTCCTCGTCGTCGTCAATAAGTCAAAAGTTGGAATTTCATTATGCCAGCCTAAAAGTAGGCAACGCATTTGGCAGACACACAGCCACAGCCACCGCCTCAGCCCCTGCCCCTGCCGCAGCCACAGCCTTAACGCAACGCTTGTTGTTTGGTGGGGCCGCGGATCGGATCGAAACTGAAACTTAAACCAAACGCTGTGCCATTGGCTGCCGTCGGGCTGCACACGAACAAAGCAGTGCCAGAGCCAGAGCCAGCGCCAGCGACCGGTCGGCGTCCAGCCCCGCCCACTGCTACGTTTTGAGCGACAGCATTGCTCGGCGAATTTGTCATTTTGCCAAATGTCGAGCGGTGTTAGTTGCAATACGACGACATCGACTCCGATGCGGACTGCGTACCCGTTCGCAACAGCAACAAGAAATCAACGGCTCGTTGCGAAGTAAATAAACTCAAAATAGTCGATTGCATACACCAGAAGAAAATTCCTATAAAGAAAAGAAAAAATTTATAGTAAAAATGTTTGCTCAAGCATTGAGTCATCACGTAAAATATTTATTTATATATTATGTATTATTTACTACCCCATTTTTATGCCTACCACTATACTACTATACGATTTATATTTTATGCAGAATTATCAATTTTTTTATTTTATTTATTTTTTTTTTTTTTTTCAGTGTATTTATCGTCATTGGTTGCCATTTTCGTGGAGGCAATTGAAAGTGAATTTCATGCTGCGAACACGAATAGAAAATTAAATTCTTCAATCACACGTCATTTAAATTTTAAATTGTCAATTTATATATGATATACCCCAGCGTGTGTGTGAGTGTGTGTGTGAAGCAACTGCAGAATGGCTAATTAGATTGTAATCGGAGTAGCAGCTATTCACAATAGACGGCAAAAACGGAGAAAACAGTTTTATTTTATTTATTTATTGAAATATGTTGTTGAAACGCGGAAAAACAAAGAGCTTAAAATAAAATATTGATATTAAATATAAATTAATGCAGAAAAAATAATGAAAATAATACGTTCTGTTGGCAAAAGCAGCCGAAGAGAGCGTACTCTCTGGCTCTCGTTGTCACAAAGACTTCGTTTCGATCTGTTTCGTTTCTGCCTTCTGTTGAGCGCCTTGGACTGAACTATTCGTGTGACGCTCTATTCACGAACAATGTTCGGAGAGATACGATTGGCCTTCGTGCAATCGTGAGAGTGATCACACGAATAATCAATGAAAACGCTCTTTATATTCACCTTTACATATACACATGCATTTCACATACCAATTGAGTACGAGCACAACTCTCGCATACATACCAATGCAAACGGTCTGGGAAGAACCAGAGTGGAACAAAGCACAAAGAAAAGTGTTGAGGCGGATCGTAAAGTCTTTAAACAGCCGATGTACTGTGAAGAGAGAGACCGACTCTGAGTTTTTTTCTTCTTCTAATGACAATCTCCCAATCGTGAATAGAAGCACGGGGCTTACGGACGCAGAGAAGCGGCCAATAATTATTTACTAACTGTTTTACAAAACCCAACCAAAACATAACGGGAAAAAAATAATAAAATAAATATCAGCCCCAAAATATTACTTTCCATGACTCTTTTGTAAAATAATTTATGGAAAATAGATAAATATATATTTATTTAAGTATTTATATGTCGGTATTAAAAAAATACTCACGTGCAGAGCGACTGAAGTCCCTTTGAATCATATTTATTTTATATGGGCATACAGTAATTTTGTTATGTATTGATTTATGTCAATTTTATTTTATAACAGATAGTAACTTACCTAGTTTTTTTGTTTGTTTGTTTTTTTTTTTTTTTTTTAATGTATTTCCCAGAATTATTAAAAATATTTCTAACTTGAACTTGTCTACAAATACTCTGCGCCATTTTTATACACTTTACAGAAATTAATTCCAGCTTCGTTTTATGTCTTTCAATTTTTCCGTATGTAATGCATTGATTTCAAAGCTTATAAAGGCTGAGAAACTCCAAAATTTGACACAAAATTTTTCAAGCAAAAATGGAATTATTCTGAAACGTTTTTATCTCTAAGTACATCTGCTTATAATATTATATTCTATGCTAATGATTAAATCTATTTAGACAGAAATAAACAAATTAAAAAAATAAAAAAATAAATAAGTAAGTGAGAAGTAATCCAAGAGTATATGAATCCAACCTCACAGCTTGTAACTATTCATATTTATTTATTTTTTATTCATATTCAGACATCGCATGAGCTCATTCCATAATGAGGTCTTTGTTAAATTGCTCATAGTTAACATAAATTATTTGCTGATGTTGTTTTGAAGCATTTCAATTGATTTGCTATAGAAAAATGCATTTGATATAGATATATATAAACATATATGTACATATGTATGTTATACTGCACCAACAGCAGCCAGACAAGGGCCAGGGCCAGAAGGGCTGTCAAGTGTTTGACGCTAACTGGAAGCATTATGGTCGCAGTTGGTGACACAGCAGCAGCAGCAATGACAGCAGCAACAGCAACAGCAACAACAACATCAAGCGAGGTTGTGGTGTGCCTTTGACTTCCTTTAGAATTGGGCTTGGTCACTGGCAATGGAGTCGTCAAGTCGTAAAAATTATTTTGTGACAAATCGTCCGCGTACGTGCGCCTCATTTAAATGCGTATACTCCCAAAATGTTATTAACAATTCAACGAGCAGTGCGTAGGGTCGAAATTTGCCAGGGACGATGCAGTGGGTGCGGCGGTTGACTCTTTCCATTCAGTGTTCAGCTGTTCAGTGTTCAGGGCTCAAAGGCCAAGCCCCCCCGTCAGAGTCGCTGAAAAGTGCGCATCAAACTATTTCAACTATTTGGCCACGCACATATTGTGCGTCCCATGTCCTGAACACAGCCGCGTCGCCCCGCCCACTTGGAGAATGCTAACAACAACGTGACATGGCTGGAAAGAGAGCGCGTCGAAGCACACTGCGAGTGATGTAATATGCGACTAAGAAGCAGCAGGAGCAGGAGCAGCAGGAGCAGCAGGAGCAGGAGCAGCAGGAGTAGGGGCTAGGGCAAGACTTGGACTTGCTTAGCGTTAGCTAAGCTGTCGCCTGCATGCCGTTCTGCATGTGTTATGAGCCGGTTGTGGTTGCTGCCCTGGCCAAGGATGAGGGTGTCAGCGAGGGTAGGGACGAGGCTGAGGTGGCTTTTAAATTGGCGCGCCATGCAAAGCCCGGCAAAGGCAAAGGCAGAGGCAATGCTGTATTTGTGCGTTAAGCGGTAAATTGCGTGCAGTGGAAAATGGAAAATTGTGCGTGAAATGTAAAATACACTTAGCCGACCCACTGACAGCGCTGCTCACATTCACATTGCGTGTCCATGTCTATGCCCAGTTCAATTGCGGCTCCTGCTCCTGCTCTTGCTCCTGCTCCCGCTCCCGTTTCAAATGCGCCTACTTTTAACAGTTTGGCGCGCCCGTTAAACTGTGTGTGCGTGAGTGCGTGTCCCCGTTCACGTGTGTGTGTGTGTATGCGTGTGCGTGTGTGTGTGCAGCAGTGCAGTCGGTTACTGTAGTGCAGCACCCTTTTAAGCAAATTAAGCATAAGAACACAAAGTGGACGCCATTATGTCGCAGTGCGTCGCACTCTTTGGCCCGCCTCCCGCCTCCCGCCTCCCGCCTCCTGCCTAGCAGCGAATTCAGCGCTTTTCGCTTTTGCAACTTTCTAATTTATTTATCGTCCACTCAAAAATGCGTACACACACGCTCATATAAACACGCTCACAGTCGCACTCTATTTGGCGCACACACACACATACACACGCACACGCAAATGCAATACATTTACATACACTCGTCGCGGCGAGTGGTTTATTTGTATTTGAAGTGCGTGTAAAAGTACTTTTGGTTTTTATTGTTATTGCCACTTATGTATGTGGCCCCTCGCTTGGCTTTTAGACATATAGTATATGGCAGTCGTAGTTATAAGCCGATTAGGTTTCCATAAAGCGTTTATATCAGCATAGTTTACAGCAAAAATTCCGACTCATTGATCATGAGTTAAGTTATATACGAAATATGAGAATATACATGTATATGTATATGTCATGTATATATCAATAACTATGTATATTTGTTTATAGGTATATGTGCATAGCTAACAACTATTAGTTATAGTATAATAATTTATTTAATTATTTAATTTTACTCATAGCTCTCTTAATGATACTTGGCGCTCTGATAACAAAATCATAAGAGACTATAGCCTAGTCTCAAGTAAAACGACAGCAGGATTACTCAGAATTTTCTGTGAGAGACAGCCCATTGGATCAGCTGTTCATATTAGATTGTGTTATGCTGTGAGAAATACTCTTATTTGATTCATCCACCGACTACTGTCAGCCGATGTTGTGTTCGTTCCCACAATACACGCTCTCGTAGCAACTCATGCTTCGACCAATGAGAGTCTGCCAAACGATCAGACGATCAATCCCATTGCAGGTAGATTCCACTCAAGAGCCTAACATATAGAGCACGCTCCTTTCAGAGAGAGAAGCACAGTCGGTGTCTGGACTATAAAAGGCATCAGCAAATCAATAAAGGCGACAGTAGAAAGTAGAAAAAGTGACAGTACACAACGTGAAGCACTGTAAGTCTTCACAAAAAGGCAGCGCCAGACCTGAAAACACATCAAGCTGCATAGGATATCGGGAGTGACCTAAGCATACCAAAGGGGAATATCTAAGACACCTATAAGTATAAGTAAAGAGCTCAGAAAGAAAGCTGCATTAACAGCTGCCACTGCCACAGGCGAAGCTGCAGAGCAACTAGAATCCTTATGAGCTTTGCATATCCTATGCAGAAGTGGGGGATATTCTCTGAAAAAAAAAAAAAGTATTTTGCAGTATTGTGAYTATTGAGCGCTTAGACTTACAACATTTTTAATAACTATTAATAATATATAAGTATAACAATATTCCAATCGCTCATCAGATAAGTATAGTTTAGTATTTTAGCTCCGAGAGGCGTATACAAAATTGTATATAGATTACAGAAACTTGTTCCTATTCAAGCAGAAATATAAACCGAAATATGTTAAATTAGCCACATTTCAAATTAGATTTACACCAACAAATGCTCCAAAATGGAATTTCTTCATAAAATTATCTCCAATTTTTATTAGAATATAAGCGAAAGAATTTAAATCCCATCATAAAT